GGAGCTCAAACTCAAACCACACGGCAGCAACAAACAGGAAGTGTGACCTTGTTTTTCTCCATCTTTATGTACATAGTGTATTGCAGCAGATTTGTTGAACTCCTATGAAGCTACCACTGATTTTAGATACACCATATAAGATTTTCACATTTAACACTGTTTCTAATTTTATATAATTGACCTATTTTATCTTCATCTTTAGCATTGGCTGGAGATTGTGAGCTGTTTCATATTAGGCAGCCTGCTATTATGCACATGTTTGGATGTCCATGGCTTACAGCAGCCCATTTCTTTACAGCATTTATTAATGTAGGCTAATGTTGATTTATAAATATGCTATTATTCATTATTAATTCATGCTTGTTCATAATACACGATATAATGTATAATTTGAACTGTTATTATTAATGTATAAAATGTATTATTATATGTAGAATATACACTATTGTTCAAAAAATTGAGTTTGGTAAGATTTTAGACATGAGTTAACTATTTTAGTTAACATGAACTAAATATACAAAACAAATGTTATTGCATGCTGTAAAATAAATTGGCCATAGTTCATGTTAACTAATGCATTAACTAGTTTTAAAACACAATATTTTGTTTAAAAAAAAAAAGTCTTGTATGTTCACCAAGGCTGCATGTATTTGATCAAAAACACAGTAAAAAAAATATTACAATTTAAAGTAAATGTAATTTTCCTGTGATGGCAGAGCTGAATTTTAAGCAGCCATTTTAAGTCTTCAGTGTCACATGATCCTTCAGAAATCATTCTAATATACTAATTTTCTGCTCAAGAACATTACTTATTATTATCAATGTTGAAAGCAGTTCTTCATATTTTTGTTGGAACTGTGATTTGTTTCAGGATATTTTGATGAATAGAAAGTTCAAAAGAACAGTATTTATATGAAATGGAAATATTTTGTAATGTTATGTATGTCTTTACTGTCACTTCTGCTCAATTTAATGCATCCTTGCTGAATAAAATTATTAATTTGTGTAAAAAAAAGTACTGACCACAAACTTTACTGAATGGTGAGTATAACATTAACCAACATAATAAATGTTGTAAAAGTATTATGTTCTAAGAACTAAATTACTAACCATGACAGATTAACTTTGGCTAACATGCTGTTTATGGTTGTCATCTGCTGACATATAGAGGCCGTAGCATAAAAATGACCATTTTATGTATCCTTCTCTTTCTCCCGCGAGCCCTCAGCTGTACTTGCCTGTTCTGCACATCACCATATAAATAAATAAAGCCAGCAGGTGATTTAGTGTGTCTGCTTATTTTCAGGAGAGCCTTTGAAGATGAAACAACTGCATTCCAAGTCCCAGTCTCCCTCCCTGGAGACATGCTTTCCAAAAGGCTACAGCCACAGCACAAAGCCAGCCTTGACATTTGCATAAATCCATCAGCGTCACCACGACAGCGCTGACTCCTAGGTCGCCATCCGCCGTAAAATTTAGAAGAAAAAAAATAGGCAGGAATAGTGAAAAAAACATAGCAAATGTTGTAAAGCTTTTGCACTTCTGTGCTGCAGTCAGATGATTACATTGACATGTCTCAGATGAGCGCTTTTCAGGCACAAGCTATACAAAAAACAGCCATGGCTTTTGTTATTACCTTGAGTTTTACAACATGACATGTAAGTGTGCGTGAGATTGTTTATGTGTGAGAGAGAGTGCTGCTTGATGGAGGAGGCAGTGCATATGAATTCATCTGTCCAAGATTCATGAGTAAATGCTGTGGACAAGGCCATTGGCCTCACCTGGCTGTCGATTGTCTTAATTTCACCGGTGTCACTTTCAATTTAGCCGGCGGCTGAGATGAGAGATAACTGTGCAGGCTGCACGCACACCACTCCACCTCCTGCTCTCTGGAGCGACAAGTCTGCAGGCTGCAACAGCAGTGGCTTACAGGCAGGAAGTAGACAACTGTATCAGAAGTGCTCATCATCAGACTGAACGGATATAGTAGCTGGATCGTGCCGTTCTGTATAGAGCCGCCCTTTTTGACACAATTACAAGTTTTTTTCCCCCATTGAGGTGCTGTGGAATCAGGATTAGAATGTGTGTAAGAAATCAAATACATTATTATCAATGTCTCAGGCTTTCTTCTATTCTGTTCTTCCATTAACCAAATATTAGCTTGGTTAGCTACCTAGCAACACCAGAGTTACCCTAGCAACTGACAAGTGAACATTCATGAGTTGCCACATCACTAAAGCTGTTCCACCATCATGGTACTTCTGTTCAGAGTTCGGTTAGCTAACCGTGCTGAGAAATCTGTACATGGAATGATTTATAATTGTACAATGCTGAATCTTGTACCAATGGAAATGCTACTGATGTTGTTTCTCAGTTCTCAAAAGTGGTATGTGTTTTATGATGACAGATGTTATTGATCTATAAATACTGTGCATAAAAGTTTACATACCCCTTACAAAAAAATTACATTCTTTTGTTATTCTTTACAGGGGATGCATGATGTTGAGATCCAGCTTTGCCACTCAGGACAGTTGATGGCCTCATGCAGAATTCACAAAATGTTGCAAACATCTGATGCTTGAGGAGGCAAGGCACAATATTAAAGGTATGTAAAAAAACTAGTTTTTTACAAAAACAAGGTTTTTAGCTGTGGAATAGTTAAATATTGGTTATGCAGCTACTATAGGGAGAAACTGCATAAAAAATATATGATCTAATTTATATAATATGATTTAATTTTTCTCTTTTTAATTTTTTATTATATTCTGGCCTGAATTTTAAAAGAAAACAGAATTTACAGATTCTGTAATGGGAATGCAAACTTATGATGCAAACTGTAATCACTGTATTTTTACCGTAAGAGTGGGCTCAGCTATCTTCAGCCATGTCCAGTTATTTTAGCTGTACAAAAACAGTCCATTATGCTGCTTGATATTGCGTATTTGTTATCATAATATTTGATAACACTTTACAATATGGTCTCATTACTTAGCATTAGTTAATTCATTAACTAACATTAAAGGGATAGTTAAAAATAAAAAATTCTGTTATTTACTCATCCTTATGTTGTTCCAAACCTGTATGAATTTCTTTCTTCTGCTGAATACAAAAGAAGATACTTTGAAGAATTTGGATAACCAAACAGTTTCTGGTCCCCATTGACTTCCATTGACTTTTCTTCATACTATGGAAGTCAATGGCTACCGTCAACTGTTTGGTTACGACATTCTTCAAAATATCTTCTTTTATGTTTAAGAAAGAAACTCGTACAGGTTGGGAACAGTAAATAGTGACCGAATTTAAATTTTCCCTTTAACTAACAATGAGCAATATATTTATTACCTTATTTAGTAACGTTCATGTTAGTTCAGGTCCATTAAATATTATTAACAGGTACAGCTGTTGTTTATAATAACGTGGTAGTAAATGTTGAAACGAATAAAGATTAAGAAATGCTTAGAAGTATTTTTCATTGTTAGTTCATGTTACCTAATGTAGTTAACTAAAACAAAAGAGAACAATTGGAACATTATTATAAAATGTTACCTATTATTTTAATTCATTATCGTAATCATAAACACACTGATTTGTAGTGCAAATACTTTTACCATTTACTGCACTTGAATTAGAACTGTTATTGTTCTAGTTATTTATATCGGCTAATAAATCTGATATCTTGCACATTCACAGGAAATAGCTTATTATTGCATCGAAAATATAAGGTGGATATACAGCATGGGTATTTCCTTGAATGCAGACCATGAAAACTGATCAGAATTCTGTGTAATTGTGTGGGGGTGACTCGATATTACAGAGAAAATGAGTTCTGTTTGAGAAGAGATCTCTACTGATAACATACATCACATGTATCTTAAAGGGGTGCTATTGTGCTCTTTTACAAAGTCTTGATTTTGTTTTGGGAGTGTACTAGAACAGGCTCTCATACTAGGTTGTTCGAAAACGCATTATTTTTCACATATTTTATATTATTACAACACCTCAGTTCGTCTGCCTTGGGAAAGCTAGCGTGTCTCCGACATAGTGATAACACTCGTTGCCTTCTCTAGTGCAGCTCAACAAGGTCTCGTCCCATTCGTCGATATTTGTGATATCACAAATCCCGGAAAATATGCGTTGTAGTCCAAACGAGTCGTTCGCTGTAGTTTTTGAAAGTGATTTCTGTTAAATATAATATCTCCTTTTGAAGTGGACTTTGAGCTTTGTAACTTTGCAGATCTTTTCTATGCTCAAACAGCAACATTACAGACTAACTAAAGTTGAAAAAGTGAAAAAGCATAATAGGACTCCTTGAAACTAGCTGTGAAAGCCAGGTTTCGATGTGACTGAGAGCTCACTAGTGGTGCTTCTGATGTTGGAGCTCAATATCGGCAGTCTGGAACATCACGCCTCTCTCAGTTTTCATAAAGCAGACTTCAGTTATGTATTCTCTCTCTCTCTCTCTCTCTCTCTCTCTCTCTCTCTCTCTCTCTCTCTCTCTCTCTGTCTCTCTCTCTCTCTCCTC